TTAACGACTCTTTTATATGAAGCCTGAAATCCGGCTGAGTGTATTTTTATCATGGCTATGATTCATCATAAAGTGGTTAGGGAGAACACTCACCTACTGTACACTGTCAATAAAATCGCTCTCAAAATAATTCAACACTATAGCTATAAATAGTTAAAATAGCCCAATCAACTCCTGACAGCCTTGAATAAAACAAATAAGTATAATTGTACGACTTAGGAAAATGATGTCCTTGAAAAGAGATTCCTTCGTTCGTCTCAATGAATCATAGGCTTTCTTTTGGATACATACTTTTTGATGAATGAAACCCAATAGTCAGAAGTAACACTGCGAAAAAAACAAAAGGACAAGGTCCTCTTATTAAAGTTAAGTTGAACGACTTTTTATCATAATTCTACATTCGCCAATAGTTATTTGACAGCAAAAAAGTAGTGAATTGAAAAACATAATTGCATTACTTTGAATTACTTTCAAGTAGTATGAAACATTGAGATGAAATAGTGTGGTGAGTAAAAGAAGTTAAAAACCCGGTAGACAGAACTAAGACTTATGGAAATACAACTGGTATCTTGATGCGGTAAGTATTGAAAACATTCTCATTGACAAAAGATTTATGAGTAAATGGAACAGAGTAGAAGATGAAAGAAAAAAAACCATTTCGGGCCTGTTACAAATTACAATGATTGTAGCGGAAAGAGAACGATGAAAATCCCTCCACAGCCTTTTTTGTAGGACAGTATTTTCATTTATTTGTTTATTCTCCCTGTCATATATTTTAACCTTTGTTCAGATCTCGTTTGAGCTTTTATTATGTGATTTTGATTAAAAACTTATCTTTTTGTTACCTAATTTTTATTGCATGTTGCCGGACTATTGACAGTGGGGTCGTGTTTGACTAAGCTCAAGGTCACGGCGTGATTCAGTGTGACTGTTAACCTTTTGACTGTCTGTCCGGAGGATTTCTGGAATCCCTGCAGATAGATATTTGATCCCGTTTTTTGGGAATATATTTGTTGATTCTGAGGTGTTAAATCCTTTGGTATTGACTGTTTCTTTTGCTGTTTAGCGCACCACTTTGCGTTAGAGAAACTTCTGACTGTATAGCACAGGCTGTACCGTTTGAGGTATTTTGTATTTTTGATATAATTTGTTCTATTTCTTAAATTAGAACCGTATAAATTGAGCACAGAGTTTGTGTTTTGATATAATTTAATACGAGTGTCTCAAAAACGCTTGACGTTGTAGTGTCTGTCATTATGTTAAGCCCAAATACCTCATTATTCTAACTTCCGGACAGCCCATTCTATTCATTCTATTTGAGTCACATTCTGACCTTGTTAATTATTCGCTTATCAATATCTTGACTGCTTTATATGAGCGCGTAGGCGTATGCACACTTCTTATCCCGTTACTCATCACATGTCTGTGATTTATTTTTGTGGGCTTATTAATATTGATTAACTCTTTGTTAAGCGGGGGGTGTTGGCTTACGAGCCATCTCCACCGCTCGTCAATTTTGCTTCGCTTTCTAATCTTCGCATCGTTCCTCCGTTCGTTTGTCTAATCAACAATTATACGAAATATATGCATTCGAAACTTCATTCTCGTTATTTGACTTATTTAATTCCGTTATTAACTAACGCGATTTAAGTCAATGATTATATACGAGGATAGACGATAGCAACCAATCATTACGATCAAATTGGAGTCAGATCACGGGCCACTAAAATGGTGATCCCGCCACCACAAGCGAACACAACAGGCTACTAAAACGTGTTATACGGAAGATCGTAGTCTGACCTATTCGAATACTTTTTGGTTCGTCAGTCTTGCGTTCAAACCGAATACTGGTAGTTCAGTCGTTACAATGATAGAAGAAAATTTGAAGAAACTTAAGATTCTAACATCGCACCTTCATAATGTCTGTCGGTCTTATGGCTGACAGGCGAAAAAAAGCAAAATAATTTTTGATGGAACAGTTTAACTGATCAAGTGTGCAAAGTTAGTATACTTCGCTGATTAACTGGGTAACAGCAAAGGCGTTCAATAACTGTTTTCATCTTCGTTTCAGAAGGGGAATAACACAACGGATCACATCCAGAGATTCAGCAAGAAATCAGCCAAACCCATAAAGATAAGCCATTGTAGCGCTGGATATTTACCTCTCACATCATATACGATTCAGTGTGGGCTTTTTTAAGACCTGCAGCCTCTTAATTACCCCAATGGATCCATAGAAATTCGATTTTACGTTCAATTTAAACACACGCTATAGAGAACACCTCTTTACAAGAAGTCAGTTCTTAGAGATAGCTACCTGCTGAGGTGATTCAAGCAACTTCCCATGAATTTTCCAGGTACAATATTATATATTTTTAAGGACTAAGGACTGAAACTCATACTGACTTACTAATAATCGTTTCGCTTGTGCTTGTTAGTACAATTCGGTTCTTATCAAATGGTATAGGTGAATTATGGTCAATAGACATAAAAGCACTTTAAAAAAGCTTTGTTCGTTCTATCCACGCCTTTGGAGCTCAATTAACATCACGAAAAATGTTTGATTGAAAATCACCACCAATTCCTTTCGAGCTGAAGATAGGCGTCAAGTCATCGAAAACAAAAGGACATGTTTTACTGTTTCATTTCAGCAGGATGAACGGAGCTGACATTTAACTATCTGTGATAGTAGTATTGGAATCACTGTACGAATTAAAAATCCCAGAGATAATGCAATTAAGGTCAAGCAGAACTAACTGAGAACAAACGAATGTATTATATTTGGAATTCGAGATCAAGCAGTCGTCAAGTACAAAGGAATCATTAGTTCGTACGAATGCCGCATTATCCATCGTCTTTAGTAGGCTGAAGTAATCCAGAAAATTGGTTCAGTAGCATAAAAAATTAACAGACAGTTGATAATGAGATGACTAAAGGTATCTGTGTCGTGATTCTTCTTTTTAAAGATAGCACATTTAGGAGTGCGGAGATTGTATTAGTTAGTGTTGAGCAATAACTCTTGGTACCTCTGAATTTCAATTACACTTTCATCGTATCTAGGAACTGTAGCTGTCTTGATGATCGTATAACACAAATGACGTTGTTACAGAAATATGTCAATAGTAGTAGGTACAAGGAACAGAGGATAATCCATTCTGCACGCGAGCCTATGGCATGTAATTAACTGATGCGTGTTTGTTGTCCGTTACCTTGACGAGAATCGGCGAACTGTTCGTTACACAGTGATCCGACTACCGGAAGATTTAGCTAGAACCAACAGACAGTTCACGGGCTCTAAATATGTGGTCCTTAGTAACTTCGTAATTTTACTAGGTGAGCTACGTTATTGACCCACCTAGATTTTGTATCGCCTTTCTAAAAGGTTAAAACAAAAAGAGTTTGTTCGTGAATGTTATTTCAAACGCTTATGTAGGAGACAACATCGCAGGACATTTTGAAAGTAGGAACTTTGAAGAGGTGTAAACAGAATTCTTAAATAATCATAACACAGAAAAACTAGGAAAATTATGAGCAATATTCAAGGCCTCGAATTAATGTTTTAGGTCAATTTAAACGAAATTAGTGTAAGCATGAGAATAAATGTTAGGCTACCGTGTTTATTAATTTGCTGCTGATATGATTAATTTTCTTGAATTGAATTTTGAAAGCCATCAGAAACCACAGTTGAATAGACTTAAATTTCTATCTTTCTTTCCCAAGGAGTGAAGAGCATCTGCAATGACCCGAACAAATATCGATCAAATTTTTACAAGTTCTTGTAAAGAAAATTAAATTTTTACGGAATTATAAAATTCACTTATTACTCCCCATTTTCGAAAGTTAAGTGTGTTGTTTTTTTCTTAAAAAGACAAAGAAATCCTGTCACTCCCACTTGTGGTAGAGAAGATTAATGGCAAGCGTAGATCATTTGATCGTTCACAATTTACTTACCTAGATTGTTCAATCGGAGTTTCATAATGAATCAAACAATTAGTCATAAACGGTGTCATAAGGACAAACTATGTGACAGAAAGGTGATTTTATTCTAAACTTTGATAACCTAGTGTAGAACGACGACGATAGCATCAAAATTAAATCTTCCAGTTAAAAAAATCAACAAAATTAAGTTTTCGAGTTAATAATCACTTTCACTAATATCCCTAATCAATTCATAATTGACTCTTTAGGCCAAATAACATAAATTCATCAACGTTCTTCAAAGTAACTTCTCTCTAGTAGATTTAGGAGTCCTCGTATTTTATGATTTAAAGTCTTACGCTAACTGTGACAAAAGTGCTTTTCGAGCAAACCTTGCACTGGTAACATTGAAGCACATTTTCGGCCAGTATGACGGAAGAACTTTCCGTATAATATTCAACAGTTTTATTCGTCCCCATTTAGAGTACAGAAACATAGTATTTCCTTCCTCACTCCAAAAGGATGAGGACACTCTGGAGCGTATCCAACGGCGAGCCACGAAATCAGTTCGGAGACTCAGATTTCAACCTTATGAAAAGCGCCTCCAATCACTTAACCTTTACCAATTAGAGTATAGGCGTCTTAGAGGTGATCTTCTGATGGCTTACAGTATTCGTAACACTTCTGGACATTCCCTTAAACACCTACTTAAGCTTGGTCTCAATACTAACCTAAGGGGTAACACCCAGAAATTAGAGATACAACATAGCAGAGCAGACTGTACACACAACATCTACTCCTTAAGAGTTGTCAAATACTGGAATTCACTGCCGACTGAGCTAGTACAAGCGACTTCCCAGGATTCATTTAAGAGGCAACTCTATCTATTCTTATGGATTAAGGATGGTATCTTACTATGATTTACCAATTTCTTTTTTCTCTTTTATCGGTAATATACCTAGGTTCTTGCCTGGAGGTGTTGGTGATCTCCTACTACTAAACACGGAAGCCTGTTAAACGAAAGCTTCTTCCATTCCGTCCACAACCATTTGAACCGTTTGAAACATTTGAAGGTCGTTACATTTTTGAATTCAGGGTCACTAAGCTGGCTCTTGAGGTAGACTGCTTGCCTCGTTTCATTTTTGGATACTAAACTAACAAAGTTTAATGGCCATGTATGAACTAGTCAGCGTATTCCTCCTTTTCTATGCTTGGTAATCCATGTCTTACTGTCCATTGTGTAGTTACAAGTACGAGTTTTGATCACATCAAGTGTTGGCTCTTAGTTTTCTCGTGTTGATTTGTCGTTGGCTTAGGTATATCTCTTAAGCCTGATGGTGATCCCTTTCAAGCTTTAAAAGCTTATTATATTTGCTTAAAGTCAGGTGTACAGACACGTAGCTAACAGGTCTCACATAAACAATTCTACTGTCTTTCCGTTTGCATTATGCCTTCGACTTTTACAAACTTTGGACTAAATATATTAATATATTTGTAGGTAATTACCCAATTTGATGGCTCATGATCTCTGATTTCTAAACCACCAAGTTTATCAATCCTTCGGTCTGTACTTTCTAAAATTTTATTTTTTTATAAAGTCTGTATCGTAATATAGTTCCAATGGGTTTAGGCAGCGATGCGATGTTAAACTAGCCGATATTAAATACCAAATTCGATTTGAAACGTTATTGAATGTGGCTTGTACTGGAACTCATTATTTTGACCATATTTCTTGTTTGAAGTGATAGGGTGATGAATTTATTGTGGGATAAACGGTGGACCATAAATTATAAACGAACCAATTAGAGTTGATGTCACAAGTCTTGGATTTGGGCGTGGAATTAATCTATTCGTTTGGCTAAATCTTACTTAGGCATTATTGCCGATGTCAATTCGTGATTAAAAAACCTGAATCTAGCTCTTAATTCTAACATACAGCTGTAAATCTTATTCCTGATTTCTCACACTTGTTTATAACCAAGTAAGTGAACATTATCAAGGTCAATGTAGCGTCACTCAAAGTTGGTCTATAAATTAGTCTCACTGAGTAAACTATTAAGGTTAGTACTTTAGGATTTAAATCTAGGTTATAGAAGTTACTGTCGTAAGTATTGAGATTAGTAGCTAGGGTTACGTAGTTTTGTTCGTATTAGTTAGAATAAAGCCAACTTTTGAGTTGGAAATTTGTAGCTTAGGTGTAGTTTTGTTCTCTGAGCTGTATGGTTTGGTCTTAGAGCTTTCATCGTTCTTAACACCAACACACAATTCGGGTAAAAGTTCGTTTATCGTGTCGAAACTCTTAGTCCTTTGTAATTTCGTCATTGTTTTGTATTCTAAAACCATTTCATAAATCTTCATTTTGATAGGCTGTTTTCTGATTAGTTAATGTCTACGTTGCTTAAGGTCGTCTGTATAGTATGGTTTTACTGATTCTGCATCAAAGTAGACACTAGATTGAACTTGATCTCTGTCTTTCGGTCCTATGACAAGTTCCTGCACTCTGTCTATCGGACTCCTAACGACTCACTTTGTTTATATAACATGTACTGATCTGTTATCTAAATATTTCCTAAATATTATTTTTCGGGAAATTCACATCTTTAAAACGTTATTGTTTTTCCTCCATTACAAAGCAAGAAATGTCAGTTTTCGGTCTACATATTCGGTCCTTCTAGTGAATGTGATACTTTATGATGTACTGTTGTTATGCATATAAAGTTAATCTAATCCATCTCTTTTTGTAATAATGAGTGTTATCCACAATTTTTAGCGAGATTTTAGGTAGAATTATACGTTTTGAGATCGCGTTTGCTTCCGATAAATGCATAAATAAGTTACAAACGATTTGAGGAGCTCGTGATTCCAAAGCTGCATCTGTTCATCTATAAAGATTTCAAAATCCTAACGAAGTAAAACCTGATCATAATTTTAAGGCATTAAAACTATCAAAGGGATTTATTAAAATCTTTTTTTTGATTAGTATTAACTTCTAGATGACTATGTATAGTATTCAGTACTTAATTAAGAGAAACATCAATGAATAGATGACGGACATTAAAACTTGCCATTAATTCATCTTCAATGTGGTTTTATATTTTCATTTTATTTGTGTTGTTTCTGCCTTATCGTATTAACCTAAACCAGCTATGACATCGTAAAATGTAGAACTTACCATCGACACCTGTTTGGTCAGAATATAGCATTGATGTGATTCCCATCAGTTTAATAAAGTAATGGCAAGTAATATCACTGTATATCCGGTTATTCTCATCGGTTGTTGTTAATCAGACATGTGGTAAAGTCTAAGTAGCATTTTCGTACAAAATGAAAAGCATTAATTCATTGAACTAAATACATTGATAAATGTGTACGTGTTCGTCTAAAAGTAATTTTCAAATAAATTTCTGTACAATTACTTCATTTTGTGGTGGTTATTCAGTGTAATGAACTTTCACCCATCAAATTACTTTCTTATAGGTGTTTCAGTTCAAGCCATGCTTCCAAATTTACCCATGCGATTATTAAAGAATCTTGTAAATTTTCCGGCTGTTGTTAGGCAATCTATTGTTGACTCGTATGAAAAACTAAAATCTACGGACTATCGTCCAATTTATGAAATTTACGATAATCTAACTGGATTGGATCGTGTTAGGTCCTTACATGTTGGAGTCGCTGAAGTAAGTCATGTTTTACGATTAAATCTTTCCACCAGCCAGTATTGTTCTGTAGATGAAATATAATGCCCCGATTCTCTTCCAGGAATAACGTGGTCACTCAGGCACAACAATAGTATACTTTACCCATAAAACAAGATGTAAATGGGCTCATCAACAAAAAAAACTTTGAATTTCGTTTGAAAGTTCAAATCACTGCTGTACAGACTGCAATTCACTTTGGTTCGCTACTTGAATCTTTAATCCGCTGAGTAGTGGAAGTTTCTCTTCGTACTTTTTTGATTGGTTGTTGTACTGATGAAATACCCTTCTCTCTTTGCTTCATTACGCTGTTTTCATAACATGATACCGATTTTCTTGCATGTTTGTGCTTTTCCTCAAATGTGTAAAGCTTATGTTCTGTTATCTTATCCTGATTTGTTCATATTTCTTATCCCATGTATATATAAGTGGGATATCGAATATTTAACATTTTCCCGAAGCTTTTACTCTTTTCCTTCAAATTATAGGCTGAAAGGAACTTCGTACAGAAACAAGTCGAACGAAGAGCTTGTCAAACGGAAGTGTTCCAGTTAGAAGAAGCTAGAAATCGAATTAACATACAACTAGATAGTGTTAAACGTAGTGATGAAAGTTTTTTGAAATTAGTTACAGAGTTGCATGAGGTAAATAATCATTTTGGTTTCTTATCGTAATTATGTTTTGGTAAAGTGTTATAAATTATTCGATAACGTTTGAGAGTCCAACTTTTTTTAACTTAATGTAAAATGATTCAGTATGATCTAGCTAAGATATAGTATTCAGCCGTAACTGATAGTTAATCAGATGACCTAGGTGTTTAATCCTACATTGTGCTTTATCAATCAGTCAGTCATACGCCACATTAAACTAGGCTAACAAAAGCATTTGTTCAGTTTGTCACATCATATCATCACAGCGAGATGAAATTATCAAAACAAATGGCAGAATAGTAGTAACCAGTATAAGTGGTAGTATAAAACATTAGGCATCGAGAAACATTATCAAGATTTTTCAATCACTTATCTTGTCCACTGCTCGGAGCTTATTTATGTGTCAACATTTACCAACATGCCTCCTTTCAACAGTCAGTGGCTATTATGGGGGCTGATACTATGTCTTGGTTTAGTTCCCTTTGGTCTTCTTCTAATTTACTTCTACGCCAGTAAACAGCATTTCGAAATAAGCGAATTTGATATTCACAGTCCATATAAATGTTTACAATATTATCTGATTCACAAGTTTCAAATCCGTCACTTCAGATTACAGTACCATCCACTTGATACTATCGTTGATTACATCATAGTACTACTTACAAGTGGCTAGCATATAGCTCATCTATAAGTAATACGTATTTTTTGAACTCTATTGTTTGCAACAGACAAACTAGTCAGTCACTCATCAACATACGGCACGACACAAATGTTTGTCAACACAAGTTCCCATGTCACGTTAGCATAACCAGATGTAATGAACACGATAAAGAACAAGATCTGAAATAGCAGTGTTATCAATCATGTTGTGAATGATTAAACACTGGGAATATAGTTGGAAAATAACTGATAAGTTATCCATGAAGGAGTACTAGAGCTGAAGATCTGAAGGAAGATAAAGGTTGAATGCATATTCATATGCGCCATTGTGAGGCATGTTACCCAATGTCCTCAACCACTTATCGCGGTTATCGGGTGGACTCTAACTGAGTAGTACCGCGTAAGCTAGCGGTCATTGACTTCATAGACTAGTCCCAAGTCTTGATTTGGCTATCCCTATATTCCTTCCAAATTTTTTTGAACGACCTATAAATATGACACAAGCTTACATAGAACAGATGAAATGTGGCTAGTGGTGGATTCCATGATACGGGCTGTGGCTTATTTGGGACTCGTCAAATGTATATACCTGCCACATCCTAGAGTTGGTCAAATTATGAATAATGGGATAATTAAAAAAACTACATATTAAATCAGAAATTCGTACACTTTGCACAAGTGTGTGACCATTCGGATTCAGTGGCTAACTTGATAACGCGTTAGCTCTTGAAGCGAATGATTCTGGGTCTAAATCTCTGAGTTAACATCAACTCCTCTCCACCATCTCAAAATCATATAAGCTTAACCCCCTTCTCGTTGTTTGAAGGTAAGGGAATTTCGCCAAAAGTCAGGCTTCCACTGAGGAACAACTCTATTGTCTCCATGAGTGTCTTCGTCAGCATGTTCTGCCAACAAGTGTATGATACAGACCACCAATCAACTGCCCAATGGGATGGAGAATAGCTGATGAACATGGAAGAACACTTCATCCGAAAAGGACTGAACTACAATACAAGTGACGCTTCAAAACTAGAATTTTACGCTGCACTAGAGTCATCATTCAAAAAATCTGGAATAAATGAAAAAAATCAACAGGAAATAAGACAAACCATAGTACCGCTAACTCGGAGGAGAAATGGCAACATCCAACTGACCGCACAAAAACGAAAAAGCTTAAAAAATCTCAGAACCAGAGAAGATATTGTCCACCAGAAAAAGGATGGGCTACAATAAATATGAACATGGTAGAATATATCAAGAAAACCGAGGAACTACTTGAAGACAAAAGAGCATATAAATCAGTGGACCCAAATCCAATCAAAAAGCTAGGCAAACGAATTTTAAGGACTTTAAACAAGCTCGTCAAACCTGGACAAATATCAAACCAAGATCAATGGAGAATGAAATCCAGTGGACCATTACTCCCTCGATTCTACGGTAGGCTTTTCTATTTTATTTATTTTATTTGAACACATAAATATTGGTACAAGGGACACCAAATATATATACGCCACACAAAAAAATGAGGAATTTAAAGAGAAGGGAAGAAAAAAAAGAAACAATAACGACCAGATTGGGGTAAGGTAGTGTAATGGTAGTAATAATGGGGGAAACAAAATGGTACAATCAGGAGAAATCTTTCAGTTAAGCAAGAAGCAACCACTCTTTACGAAGAAAGTAAACGAAGGTTACAGCAGGATCGTCACTGGCTTCTATTCTGAGCCATATCTGATAACGTCTCTAGCCACTGTGTTGCACCATCTCTCGGACCCCAACCAGGGAGTCGTGAAGGACCAACACAAGCCAGCCCTTTGCAACTTTCTTTCATACCACGACACCATGTCACACACTAACCACCTCTCCGCTTTTTCCAACCTGTCCCAGAGTCGGCAAATAATGCACGACGTGGAATTCTCTGGGATGACATTCGTAGAACATGTCCAAGCCACCGAAGTCGGTGTTTCAAGATGGTGACACCAATTTCATTATCGTCTCTGTGCCCGAACACACGATGCCGGACCTCTGCATTACTAACGTGGTTTTGCCACTGAATGTCAGCAATCCTTCGGAGACAACGATGATCGAACACAGAGAGTCGTCTAACATCCTCAACTCGGAGAGGTCAGGTTTCACAAGCATAGAGCAAAACTGCTCTCACCGACGCGTTGTAGATCCGACCTTTTACAGCCAGACTAACATCACGAAGGAGCCAAAGATGGCCCAGATTGGCATAAGCCGCTCTGGCTTTCACTATACGTGCATTGATCTCATCACTCACGCCACCACCAGCACTTATGCAGCTACCTAGTTACACGAATTTCTCGACTACTTCTATCTGCTCACCATCCAGAGTGAGTACAGGATTAAAATCCTGCAAGTCTTGTAGAAGTACTTTGCACTTCGAAGGTGCAAAGCATATACCATACCTACGGACACTGATTGCCAACTGATTAAGTGCGGATTGCATGGCTTGGGCATTCTCGCACAGTAAGACAATATCATCCGCATACTCAAGGTCGAGAAGTCTTTCTCCAGGCAACAGATTCACACCACCATTACCTACATCCATCAGAGCTGTTTCCAGAATGTCATCGATGGCAAAGTTGAAGAGAAATGGTGGGATTGGGCAACCCTGCCTAACCCCACTGCTTGAATGGAACAATGGAGAAAGGTGGTTGTATGCTCTCACTCTGCCTGAGGTGTTTGTGTATAGGGCTTTCAAGATGTTAATAAACTTCTCAGGCACACCCTTCTTCAATAGACAATCCCAGAGAACAGTTCTGTCCAACGAATCGAAGGCAGCCCTGATGTCAAGAAACAGTACGATTGTTGGCCTTTGATAAGTATGGCGGTGTTCTAACATTTGGCGGAGGGTGAAGATATGATCAATACATCCTCGACCGGAACAAAACCCAGCTTGCTTGTCGCGAGTCAATCCTTCTCGGGTTCTGAACAACCTACGAAGTATAACGGAAGCCAATGGCTTGGACGCAATCGGAAGTAGACTTATCCCCCGATAGTTGTTGTAGAAATGACATGAACCCTTTTTAGAGATAGGGACAACTATCGACTAATTCCATGACGTTGGTACACTCTCTAGTTCCAGACCTTTGTAAACAACGTCGTCAGTCCCTTAGTCAGAAAATCACCACCATCTTTAAAAAGCCGGAGGTAAGTCATCTGGGCCCGGCGGTTTGTGGCGTTTCAAGAGTTGAAGTTCCTTGCGGACTTCCGCCTCATTTGGTGGATCAGTCGTCACCGGCCATGGAGGGCAGTACAGTCTGACCGACGTTGCCGGAGCAGCAGGCCAGTTGAACTGCCCTTCGAAAAATTCTGCCCATCTTCCAAGACGTCGATGGATGTTAGTGATTGGCGTTCCGTCATCCTCGCAGATTGTTGCGCTCACACCAGATTTCTTGCTGCCAGTGGCTGGGATGAGTTGGAAGAGCTTCCGGTAATTACCAGATGCAGCTGCTGCCTCCAGCTCATTAGCACGCTCCGACCACCAGGTTTCTCTGTCCTTACGCAAGCTTTGCCCGATTTCATTACGTGACATCCTTCGTCTGTGGTCAAACTCACGGTCTCCCGGTGTAGACCGACGGGCTTCAATGAGTTGTAAAGAACCAGAAGAAACCCAGTGCTTGTAAGCGGGACGTTTCGCGAACCCACAACAGACTTTACCCGCCATTTTCATGGCGTCATGCAATTGCAACCAATGCTCATCTATACTTTTCGGTGGAATGGTAGCTAGCCTAGAAGCTAGCTCGGTTCGGTACTTACTAGCAACAAAAGTTGCAACCAGCTTGCTAACATCAATCCTTTGGTGACGGTCACTGCGTTGGCCACTGAAAAGTAAGGTAAGATAGGCGCAGACCAGGGCATGATCAGATTCCAGATAGGTACTCCAAAGGGAGCGGCAGTCTTGTACACAACCACGCCAGCGGTAGCTGATCGCGATGTGATCAATCTGAGTCCAGGCTTGAGATGCAGAAGCGGGACGCCAGGTGGCACATCGGCGATGACTGTGCCGAAAGTTAGTGCTAGCCAGAAACAGGTTGTGGTCTGTGCATAGTTGCAGTAGACGGTCCCTGTTATCTGTCCTGCGACCAACAAGTCCCCCTCGGCCACCTAAACGACTCTCTTCTGTGCCTAGACGCCCGATCTGAGCATTCAAGTCTCCGGCTAGTACTAAAATATCTGTCGAACGCACTTTCTGGAGAAGAACAGTTAACTGGTGGTAGAACTCATCCTTGATTGCATCCGGGCTGCAATCTATCGGGGCATAGGCGGAGATGACGAAAAGACATCGTTTCTCACACCGATTTCTTCTCACTTTGATGGAACTTTCTAATCTAACAGCACACAACCGACTGTTAATGGGGATCCAGTCAATTAGTGCTGCCTCAGCTCTAGCGCTTAGTGCGACACCAACGCCAGCAAGACCAGACGAAGATGCCACAGGGTCCCCGGATAAACGCACATAAGACAAGCTTTTTGAAGCGACAGGTGGAGAGTGAATTTGTAGTACTTCACCAGAGTCTTGAATACGGGTCTCGGATAGACAACACACATCAATATTAAGACTTTCCAAAGACATAGCCAGCCCTATCTGTTGTCCGACCTGCATAAGTGTGCGAACGTTGAAGGCAGCCAGTTTGAATGGTGCACGTGGTTTCAGAAAAACTGCTTCAGTAATCCTATTTGGTGGTAACATACAATTTTCAACCAGGCAGTGACTCGAGAACGTTTAAATAGAGCCGAATTTCCACCATAGGCGAGCTGCTGTATAAGTCGAAAAATAAGGATAGATAAAGTAGGAATGAAAGGGAGTGAATAAATGATGTAGTAAATAATAATAATAATAATAATAATAATAATAATAATAATAATAATAATAATAATAATAATAATAATAACAATAATAATAATAATAATAATAATAATGCGAGTTATTTGATTGTTAATCTGGGCGAAGAGAATATTAGTAGACTGTTCATCATGTTTTTGTGTGTGGGCTGAGATACTGCTCGGGTGCCCAAACCGAAGCAGGTGGTTTTCTTAGGGGGCCACACCCCGAGCCTTTGACCTGAAGGTCTAGTCCACAAGGCAGTGGAGCATCGTGAGGAGATGCAGTCCCATGGAAGCCGGTGACCAACGATTGGTTCATACGCCATTTTTTCCCGCAGGATACTGGAGTCCATGTGCACCATTGATTTGGGATCCGGTTAAAGCACCGGACATTCTCTTTTCGTCCTCTCATTTTCGTAAACAACACCCCCGCCACGAGAAGGCAGTGAGTAGGACTTCCCTGGCAGAGGCTGCATACGCGTGGCCATGTGAGAGCATTTCGAGAGGGAGAGCGAACCCACCCCACTTTCGGCCATACCAGGGCGTTTGGGGGCTACAAATACACGAACCAAACATCCCACGACGTCCATTTCTATCACTCCCCAGAACCCCAACATACAAATTATCCAAAGAAACTCCAAAAATACTGAAAAATTTAGTGGATTCATCCAATCACTCCATCAAATGTCCCATACAATTCTCGAACAATGTCGAGGAGATTCAGATCAACAACGGCGAACTGATAACATCCTTTAGTGCAACAGCTTTATTCACCTCAACTGAATCTAGCTTAACAAAGGAAACTCTATTCCTCCTCCTCACCAATGATACAAAGTACGTGAAGCGTCAAAGTCAAAGCTTACTAAAACTTATCCATTCATACTTAACAACACTATTTCAATTCAGCAACAAAATCTACGAACAAACGGAAGGAACACCAGTGAGACTACTAATATCAAGACTTATTGCAGAAGCAATACAGAGACTGAAAGCCTTGGTCGAACAATAAACTATCATTCTCGGATGTATTAATCACCAGAACCGACACAGAAAAACTGGGGACTCAAGTATATCGGAATTCGACCTGTACAAATCAGATTCCCGATCGCAGTAGCAACAACCCAAGAACCCATAAAATCAATTGCGTCAACAATAACCAGTCAAGATCGAGGTTGATAGTACAAACTGTTAGGTATATGTGGAAAAATTCGAACACTTCACTTCTGCCTGGAGTTTATGTCGATGATGTTGTTCAGAAGAACAATGAAGGCTAAACAACAAAACCATGCAGTTGACTAGTCCTAAATAAGGTGAAACCCGCATCCTAGATTTCTTTGCTAGCTACATCCCGTCTATTCTATACAAAGGATATATAATTTTGAAGTATTGAAATATAACGTTTACAGTTTGTCAAACTACATCAACTCAGAGAGATGAAATTATTTAAATAAATGTCATAGTATTAGAAATAGTGATATTATTAAAGGTAGTAAGAGAATGGATGAATGCGTTGATTAGAGGAAATTATAACATAATTTTCGAGCTTAAGATCACAGTAAAGAGGAAAGATGAATAAATCTATGCTATTTCAACTAATTTTTAGTCATGTCCCCTAACATCTCCATCAATTGGCCCCCAAATGCCCTGGTACGGCCGAGAGTGGGGAGAGTCCGCTCTCCCTCTCGAAATGCTCTCACATGGCCACGCGTATGCAGCCTCTGCCAGGGAAGTCCTACTCACTGCCTTCACGTGGTGGGGGTGTTGTTTACGAAAATGAGAGGACGAAAAGAGAATTTCCGGTGCTTTAACCGGATCCCAAACCAATGGTGCACATGGACTCCAGTATCCTGAAGGAACAAATGGCGTATGAACCAATCGTTGGTCACCGGCTTCCATGGGACTGCATCTCCTCACGATGCTCCACTGCCTTGTAGGTTAGACCTTTAGGTCAAAGGCTCGGGGTGTGGCCCCCTAAGAAAACCACCTGCTTCGGTTTGGGCACCCGAGCAGTATCATAGCCCTCACACATATCAAATGTGATCTGTGTGGCGCATATGTATTTTGTGCCTCCTTGTACCGATATCTATGTGTTCAAATAAATAAATAAATAACAATTGATCATATTCATAACATACAACCCCAACTAGATAGTCTGCATAAATATATATGCCCTAATCTAACAGTCAGCGATTTAATCGACTGATGTCATGTTTCGGTTCGACTGTCTCTCACTTTCCTCCAACCTAACATATCTAGGCAGTTGATAGTTGAGCATATCTAATATATATCCCAACCATTTCATTTGATAAAGATTCACTATCTCATCATTTAAATCAATTATTGTATTGAATATTATTTCATTTTCTGACTAAAATGTATACCTATTCATTATTCTCTCATAATTAAAAAGATAAGTGAAGTGTTTCTTTGTCTTCTTCATATATAATCAATTGTAGCTTTCACGTCAACACCAACAAGCTCGTGATAAGTTAACATCTATTGAATTAGCTGAACAAGTAACATTTGAACAATTTTCTAGTATTCTACGTCATTCACAAGCTGAAGAACGCATTCAAGCTAGCCGAATGCGACAGTGGACTGTTGGATTTAGTTTAGCTGCTGGTTTGATTGGTTTTAGCGCTACATGGATACGTTTCCGTCAACTTGATAAGCAAAATGCATCATCACTTCGCTTAGCTTCTGCTACTGGTCAGGTATGTTTATTTTACCTAGTTTATGCAGAATCGGTCAAGTTTTAGTGTGTATGGGTGAGGTTGAGCGATTTTTTTATAGTGACCGTATGGTTTTGAAGCCATTTTTGTTTAAACTAATCAGCAGAAAGCCTGTATCAATCAAATGTATTTCGTAACAGAACTAAGAACAATCTGTTAGAATCCAATGATTTTAAGATCACTGGTTTTCCAAGGCCTATTTTCAGTTTTCTCATTTCAATATTGTAGAACTATCTCTATACAACACTATAGATCTGGGTGGGAGTTTATTCACAAAAAACGTTTCACTTTAGGTCTTTCTCGTAGCTTTAAATAGTCATCACTTATAAAATCTGATTTAATTAATTCATTGAGGATTTACGAAGGTAAAATTACAAACAGACTATCACTGTGGCCATTATGAACACGAAGAAATTGTATGAAAAAAATCGCTGTCTCTTTCGTCATTCCTACTTTACCAGGTTGTCTGCTATTCCAGTGAGAGATTAGTTACTTACTTACGCCTGTTGCCACTTCTGGAGGAGCATAGGCTGCCCACCAGCACTCTCCATCCAACCCTGTCCTGGGCAATACTTCCCATTTGTTATTTATCCTTTTCATGTCTGCTTCCAAACTCTGACGCAATGTATTCCTTGGCCTTCCTCTGTTCCGTTTCTCTTCAGGATTCAAGTTAGTGCTTGCTTCGTGATGCAGTTCGGTGATCTCCAGAATGTATGTCATATCCAATTTCATCATCTTTTCCTAATTTATGGAATCTGGTTTGTTCTTTCCCACAGTAGGCTGTTGATGGTGGTATCCAACCAATGGACATTGAGTATCTTGCGTAGAAAATTGTTTATAAATACTTGTACCTTCTTGATGATAGTTGTAACAGTTCTCTAAGTTTCAGCTCCGTACAGTGGGACTGTCTTGACGTTCGTATTGAGGATTCTCACTTTGGTGTTGGTTGACAGTTGTTTTGAGTTCCATATGTTCTTCAACTGTAGGAATGCTGTCCATGCTTTGCCAATCTTTGCCTCTACGTCTGCATCAGATCCTCCTTGTTCATCTATGATGCTAACTCGATACGTGAATGTTTCCGCATCTTCCAGAGTTTCTCCATCAAGTGTGATTACGTTGGTGTTCTCTGTGTTGTATCTGAGGATCTTGCTTTTCCCCTTGTGTATTTTAAGGCTTATTGCTGCAGAGGCTGCTACTACACTAGTTGTCTTCGTCTGCATTTGTTCGTGGGTATGTGATAGAAGGGCAAGGTGATCTGTGAAGTCCAAATCGTCTAATTTATTTTGAGCTGTCCATTGTATTTCGTGCTTTCTTTCAGATGTGGAGGTCTTCATAATCCAGTCAACCACCAGAAAAAAAGGAGGGGGAGAGTAAGCAGTTTTGTCTGACTTTGGCCCTTAGTGGTGGTCGGTGTTCGATATATTCCTTAAACTCCATATACAGTTCGTCTCGGTAACCGTCACCAAATAATGCTCCAACGGTATATTAATCAGAAGGCGAATACGAAGCGTTAATTACGTTTATTAAGGGACCACACACAGATATCCAAAATTACAGATGCGTTAAGCAAGCATGAAATAGTTGTGCCGAAAGGCAAACAGGCAAGCGAGCGAGCGAGAGAGAGCAAGGGCAAGAGCGAGCGATCGAGCGAGTGAATGAACGAGCGAGCGAGTAATGAATATGAATAACATGGACATATATATACATAGTGAAATGAATGAATCATCGAGTCAATTAAGCGGTTAATAGTAAATCTAGTAGCGTGAATAAATGCGTAGGCAGTAAGGCTTGCCGAGCATACATATTCATACAAGGATAACAATAATAAAGGTACATACATTCGCAACAGTAATAAGGATACAATAAGTTATTATAGTGCAGGTGACTTTGTCCGTTTAATAAGTTAATAAAAGGGCTTAACCGAATTAGGTGAGAGCAAACTCAATTGAATGTGAGTTGCTATACCTTACTTGGAATGCATATGTCAACTGTCCTCCATTCACGACTTTGCACTACTCATAGTCATGGACGTTGATGTATAGTGACGAATTCCACTCAATTGATTGTTCAATGGTGATTCGTAGTGTCGCGGTTTGGTCTGTGCACGACCGATCCTTACGGAATCCAACCTGTTGATCTCCTATTCGGGCGTCTACTGAGTCTTTCATCTGGTTCAGCAACACTGTTGAAAACGTTTCCTGGTACTGACAGTAGCGTGATGCCTCTGTAGTTCTCACATTTGCTTAGATCTCCTTTCTTTGGTATCTTGATGAGGTATCCTTCCCTCCAGTCTATCGGCACTCTTTGCTCCTCCCAAATCTTTCTGAATAGAACGTAGAGCATGTTTGAAGTTACTTTTATGTCTGACTTCAGTGCTTCAGCTGGTATATTGTTAGGTCGTGCTGCTCTTGCGCTCTTGATGGTCAACCTGATTTCTTTCGTCGTTGGCCGAGTGACATTTATAGAAAGGTCTGTAGGTGCTGCTTCGCTGTCCAGTGGATTCAATGGGGCTGGTCTATTCAAGAGTTCCTCGAAGTATTCTACGCATCTGTTCTTCCGTTCTTGAATCTCGGTGATTGTCGTTCGTTCCTTGTTCTTGAGCGATCTCTCTGGTTTACAATATTTTGATACTGGTTTCTTCATTGTGTCATATAGTTGTCTCGTATTTCGTTCTCTTGCAACTTTTTCTGATGTCATTCCTAGGTCCTCCACATAATTCTGCTTGTCAGCTCTAATGCTCTTCTTCACTTGCTTGTTTTTTACTGTGTATTCAGCTTCTGCTTTGACTTTCTCTGTTCTTGTTCGACTGTTGTTAATTGCTTTCTTCTTGTTCTTCCTTTCTTGTATCCTATCCAGGATTTTGATGGAGATCCACTCCTTATGATGGTGCCTCTTGTGGCTCAGAACCTCCTGACATGTTGAACTTAGTATTTCTTTGATCCCTTTCCAATTTTCCGTTATAGTAGTTTCTTTTTGTTTCATTAGATCTTGTAAGGCTTAGAACCTGTTGTTCGGAGTTATCTTGAATTGGTTTAGTTTGTCAGTATGTCGCAGGAAGACTGTATTGAACCTGGTTCTCACGTCTTCTATTGACCTTCTGAATTTTTTATTGATTCAAATATGATCTGTCTGGTTCTGTGTAATGTGATCCGGTGAGACCAATTTAGCTCTATATATGGGTTTGTGTGGGAATGTTGTGCCGCGTATAACCATTTTGTTGAATGCACATAAATTTGAGAATCATCATCCTCGTTCCTTTTTCCCAGTCAGTCTAATTCGTCCCATGATATCTTCGTATCCGGTGCTGTCCATTCTGACTTTGGCGTTTAGGCCTCCCAACAAGATGGTGAGATCCTTTCTTGGGAACTTCGCTGTGCTCGGTTGCGGCCTCTAGTAAAACTTATCTTTATTGTTGTCGTTGCTACCATTGGCGGGTGCATAACATTGGATAGCATTCATCGTGATTCCCTTCTTTGTTTTGAAGGTTACGGTAAAGATCCTGTATCCATGAGATTTCTATCTTATAAGTGCTTTATGTGCGTCTTTGGACAGTATCAGAGCAACCCCCTGTGTGTGGAGCACATTCCTCTTCGTGATCGGAGTACAGCAGCATCCCACCCGTATCTAGCCTTTTCTGTCCAGCTTGGGTCCAATGGGTTTTGCTGGTTCCGAGTACTACTAAGTTGTATCTCTTAATCTCCATGGCTATTTGACTGGTCCTCCCGGTCTCCCACATTATCCGGACGTTCTATGCACCTATAAAAATTGTTGCTCTGGTTGTTAGAAAGAGCATCGACCTCGTGACTTCCGAATAATTCTTCTCTCAACTCGGAGGGCAGAGTTTAAATGGTTTAGTTTGTTTAATCTGGTTGGAGTTTTCCTGGCAAAAATTTTTTCTATGGGATAGAGTTGTCGACCCCATACTCAACCCTCCTCCTTTACCCGGACTTAGGATCGGTAATAACTGTAGAAGAGCTACAGGCGGAGTTTATTTCAGTGAACCACTAATAAAATGAGCTCTTTGCGATTTTACTATAACACAAAAGTGAAAACTGATTAAATCGTGTGTTATGTGAAGTCTGAGTATAAAAATACGATTACTTAAAACGCTCAACATTATCACTTTTACTCGATGATAACCAACAATTCTAAATATATCTCGTGTTTTTTTATAGTGAAGCATAAAAATGACCCATCTTTGAATTTCCCACCAAAATCAGTCTCCTTGTTTCTGATTGGCCAATATTACCAGTATAGGGTTGTGGAGATTGTTGAATTTTATCGATGTCACTAACCTATGTAAGTTGGACAACCATCGTCCTAGTATGGGACTTCAGCAGGTCACAATGAACGTAATGAGAGGCCGTCCAGTGCTTCCAGATTTTCGATGGTTGTCTAACTTAAATTAGTTCGTGATATCAGTGAGCTCCGACAATTCCCACAACCCTATACTGATAATTATCATGTGTTCACCAGTGAATAGCTTCGAGAGGAAATTCCCGGAAGTCTAATGACAAGCCGCGACAAGTGGAGTTCAACCGTATCAGTTGTGAGAAAGTTACTTACCAAAGATGGTCGTTCAATGTCATTAATTGATTAAAATTAAATTTTTACACCATCGGATACCAGTTCAATGGTCTAGAGGTTAGGGGTTCGAGCGCAAGGCCGAAGGTTTTGGGTCAGATGCCTGGTTGCGGGGTCGTGGATGTGCAGTGGTGAAGAGTCCGATACTGAGAGGAAACGGCCTTCTAGTGCTTCTAGGTTTTCAATGATTGTCTATCTTACATCGGTTCACGATATTAATAAAAGATCGCGATTAAAATCACAATAATGCTTCTCATGTATTAATACCTGTATAAACAGAAGTTGGTAACTTGGTGAAACTTCGTAGGGTCTTTTTATGTCTACCTATGGTAATAATTCTATTTATCGTCAATATGCGCTAATTAGGAATTTATTCTTGTGACTTCTATAGTGGAGATTTTGTTTTTTTTCTTGTCTTGTTTGTCTCATCTTAGCCAACTAGTGAATACTCCTTCCAAGATATAACTTCCTGTCTTCACTCATCCAATCAGGTAGGTTTCATTAATTTTTGTTTGTAGAAGATGACTTTAATATTTTATAAAATTTGCATCTAATTTAAGGGTTAATAGTTGATGGATATGAAGAGCGTGTTAAAGTAGTTTTAGGGTGGTTGACGAGTAACTTTGTCACTTGGATTAATGGCTGATACATTGCAACGTGATCAATAAAATTCAATGTGCAATAAAGGATTGGATAGACATGACATCGGTCACTCTCTTCAGTTGATATTAGCTTATGATGATGATGTACCGAAAGGTTCTAGTCGTACTATATACTTGTACTCACATGATATCTCATTATCAAATGATAAACGAGAAATTATAAACATGGCACATTGTTGTAGGACATTGATTGTGCACTCACATAAGATCTCAGCTTCCATGTCCTCTTTGGAGTTAGAATGACAATATATATATATATATATATATATATATATATATATATATATATATATATCAATGATTTGTGTACTTGACTGCTCAATTTTACCAATTACATCTTCCAAGTTATTTATTCCTCAGAAGCCTGGATATTGCAACCGAGTGTCGTGGATTGAGTGTAACAAATAAAAACCAAACATTTTCTAATGTGACAATTTACATTTTCTTTACATTCTATCGATTGACAAGTCTTATGTAATTCCTAAGCTATATTCATGTAGTTCAATACAAAAACCAATCCTTAAGTGAGTAGATTATAGAAATTAGTCCTCATTATAAAGTCTCACCTTGGATTGTGACATAAGCTGGTATTCTCTATTTCTGAGAATATCATAATAGCTTTGTTAATGCAAGGAGTCCTATATTTTTTTATTTACTACCCATAGGTTTATCTGAGTAACTGATATCGATTCATGATAACATCTCTACCTTAGAAAATGAGTTGTCTATTCACTTATTACTTTACAATTATATGTAATTCTTATTCTATATGCATAGAAGTATGTAATGTGTTTACATTGTAGAGATTAAAAACAACATTGGATGACTTAAATCAAATTAAAAATAATTTGAATGATGTAAGTTCTTGTTATTAACTTCTTTTGTTTTATATTATTTTAAAAAGTTGCGTTGATCGTGTGTATGTCTGATTCTTTCTCCCACAAATTTACGACTGAATTTTAACTTATTCATCTATTTAATGAAGCATTGGGTTATTGGTTGTAGTGTTTAACTTTCAATTGTTAAGTTTGCAGTTTGAAACTCTGCTTCACCTAATTCGGTGCAGTCAACTGAGTAGTAGTAGTGTGGTGCATGCTACTTATATCTGTCAGCATAAATAGTATGTAACACCAATCGGAAGTGGAAGACCTGGCAACAGAAGGCTAAGAAGATCCAGTTGAATAGGATAAAAGGGAAAATACAAAGGAATTGTGAACTGGAAGAATTAGACTGAATATGAAAGACAAATGATGGAAATTTGTGAGTGAAGTATATGATTCCCATATGTTTCCAAGAGAGTCTGTAATTTTGTATTTAAATACATCAGTTGTCTCCACCTGTGTTCTCGTTCATTACAGTAGTATCGTTGACGCTACTCACAAAATTGCCCATATGTAGCATGCAGTGGAGGGCTGCATAGGAGTTGCTGCAATCGACAGTCGAAGATAGGAGTTTCAGAAGGCCTAAAGGGCGGCGAGTTCGGAATAATTGTGAGACCAGAAGGAAAGCTATAGAAGATAGTCCACAACCAGCTTTATTTGTGGAATACATTGAAGAATAAATGTATATATTTCGTAAACAGTCAGTGTTCCCTCTAAATAAATATGTACGCCTTAAAGCCAAGTAAATCAATCTGTACATGTTAATTGAGTCATTGATCATTTAGTCGTGTTTAGTGTGGTTATAATACATAGAAATTAATTTCAATTCTCTTACTAAATATCACTAGTGAACACTTTCCTCTACGCGTACACGATGCTAAATATTTGGCCACTTATCCAGGACTAAATAGATACGCAAAACAATACCGTATATGGTAAACAAAAAAGATGCCATGGATGTAATTCTTCTGTAAAGTATATGCGAGTAACCTTTTCTGGTACAAAATTTGTCAGTAAATCTACGGATTACGGGATCCATTAATTTTTTATGCGCCAATTTTAATGGTCTTAGAGACTTCAGTTAGTATGTATGTACACCTTTTTGACAAGCACTAACTGTCACAACATTTAAATGTAGTGTTTCTTACTAATTTATATGCTAATTCATATATAGCCATACAAAATGTAAATGGGGTCTCCTCTCCATTAAAGAGCCGATTAATATGATTGACTTTGACATAATGTTGCGTATAGTTCAGTTAGAATGATAGCTTAGTGGTTAAGCCATTTAACTTTCAGCCAATAAATCGCATATGTGAGCTATTTTCCATTTACTTCGATTTAACAACTGGATAGTATCATCAACTTTCACATTTTGAATGAAACCTAAAGCTAAATACATGAATCTGTACCTGATAAATTAGTTAATAGTCTAGTGCATAAAGTTGCATTTGATAAATGAGTTACGTAGTTCTTACGTTAAATAATTACTAGACTGATGATTATACTTTAGGTTGATTTGAAGAATTTAATTGAAAACATAAGAACCAGGCAATATAAAATTAACTACTATAAACTAATCAAATAGCATTAGATGGTTGACGATCAATCTGTTATAAATCTTGCCAATCTAGGTTTTGTTTTATAGCTAACAATTGACAACAAGACGTAATTGTGTAACCTGCTTCGGTTTGGGCACCCGGGCAGTATCACTGCCCTCACACGTATCAAATGAGATCTGTGTGGCGCATATGTATTTGGTGCCTCCTTGTACCAATATCTATGTGTTAAAATAAAATAAAAATAAAATAAAATTGTTTAACCTTCTAGATGAATTGATGTTCTCTTTTTGAAATTCTAGTAGTGTAATAGCATATATAATTTTTTTTCCTGAAAATTCCAGATCGTAGATTTCTTATAGTAAGCTCTGTAATTTTTGAATGAAAATAAAGCACTCTTCCTATTTACTATTGACTTTTGAACTAACCTGAAGATGATATTTTTGAAGTATCCATTTTTCGATTTTTCAAGTTAACAACTAGTTTTATTATTATTATTATTAGTAGTAGTAGTAGTAGTATCATTAGCATTAGTACTATAATCGTCTATTATCCTCTGTTTAATCACTAGTTGATCAAAACACTGAAAGAAAATTTGAACGTGATGAATATGAATATTACAAAGGTAAATTGGTCTTTACTCTTGTTTTTGTATAAAATTTGTTGGATTTTTTTATATATTTTTTTCAATTTCAGAGATTTTTCTGCTTCAACGATCATTTTCATCATGTTTGTTGTGATAACATTTAAAAAAGGTTATAAAGAATTGAAGAATATTGATTAGTTAAGTCTAAAGTAGTAAGTGGTTAGAGGTAATTGACAAGAAATTCTGTTTAACCTGGGTTTTGTGTTCATTGGGACTTATCAGCAAGATGTATCTGTTGTAATTTTGAGCGAGTTGATTATTTCTTTAGGCATTCCTTCCCGTATGACCCAGCTTCACAGTCGGAGACGTTATCGTCGAGCTGTTCGGTCTATGGGACTAGGATGTACTAATATGACATTGATCACTACTCAGAGATCAATCATTTGTAAACATCTCAGTCCTACCACCTTACGTCTTAACATAGTGAATGCGACTTTAAGTCCCTAGACTAATGGACACATTGAAACTTGATCGATACGTAACATTGATCACTACTCAATGATCGATCAGTTGTAACGACATTAGTAAAGCATTGCTCCATCCCAAGGTATAGGGATGAATTTTAGCAACTTTAGAAGTAGTTTTAACCAGATTTACTCGGACTACATGTGATATAAGTCAATAAGTTATTACAGGGAATGAAAGAAAAATCATAATATATATACACCTTTTACCATGATTTATAGATTTATGAAGGTTTGTCTATGCTACTTCGGCTGATTGTACTCCTTGGAGATATTATTATGTCCAGTGTAGTCCTTCAATCTTGACAACATCAACTCAACGTTACTTGGACAGTTAACGAGGTGATTCTTATGGATGACACCTTATGATTACAAACGAATCTTCGAAGACATCTGTATGCTTCTCTAATTGTCAGTATAAATCGTAGTTCCTCGTTCTACGTACTTCCTAATGATAGGTATTACGATCAAATTCATTTTTAGAGTATTAAAAGTGATCTTTCTGTAGAATTCTGCTACGAATTATGAAAATCTGCTAGTTAGATTGAACACAATACTACTCATTTATTCTATCAGTGGACTCCATCCTTTTTTACACCTTTCTTTCTGGATAACAGTTTCGTCTATTTGAACCATTCGACCGACATTTTCAAGCTGTAGTTTTAGAATTGACATCATTTCAAAGTGAATATCTAATAAATTGTTGTCATTGCACTCTTGATACTCCGGTGGTCAGCTGATGTCCTCATTATTCACTGACTAATTAGTACATGATCTGTCTGTATTGGTACTGCTTTCTTTATCCAATACACAGTACAGCACTATACTACCTATTTATTTATTCTAACATAGATATTGGTACAAGGAGGCACCAAATACATATGCGCCACACAGATCTCATTTGATATGTGTGAGGGCTGTGATACTGCCCTGGTGCCCAAACCGAAGCAGGTGGTTTTCTTAGGAGGCCACACCCCGAGCCTTTGACCTAAAGGTCTAACCCACAAGGCAGTGGAGCATCGTGAGGAGATGCAGTCCCATGGAAGCCGGTGACCAACGATTGGTTCTTATCACACTTGTTCCTTCAGGATACTGGAACCCATGTGCACCATTGGTTTGGGATCCGGTTAAAGCACCGGACATTCGCTTTTCGTCCTCACAATTTCGTAAACAACACCCCCGCCACGTGAAGTCAGTGAGTAGAACTATACTATACTACCTCATCCCATGAGGCTGTGCTTTTTTGTAATTACTCAGTTTTCATAACTAGAAGTAGTGATAGTTCTGATTAGTCTAAAACCTTGCGAATGCTGAATAATAGAATTATTGAAATTCCCAAAGAATTGATCTAGTGATAATTTTAGTTTCAAATATACATGGTCTCTAAAACATGATTGGTTCATCGACCAAGTATAGTTTCTCCAATTTGTTAAGCTTAGTTTTCATCAACAATTTTGGTAGGACTTATGTTGTGTTTTATCTAAACTATTTTTTTAACCAGACATTAGCATATCTCCTTATCCTTCCATTTCACTATGGCTTTGTTCATTCAAACGGTATACAACCAAAAAGTGTCTACAATCTAGTTTAGAAGTTCGTGTTATCCTTTACCTATAAGAATAGACCCTCAAATGTCGAAGGTGGGGAGATTCAGCTCTCTCTTTCTCTCCCTCGAAATGCTCTCATATAGAAATTCGTTGTTTACAAAATCGAGAGAAAGAAAAGCGGATGTACGGTTCCTAGACTGTGTTGGTGGTTACTGAAGATCCGCCTAAGGGAGTTGGGAAACTCTAACCCCAAGCTAGTAGTACACATGGGCTCCAAAATCCTGAGGAAATAAATGGGGTATGAACTTGTTCTTGGCCACTGGTTACCATGGGACTGGGTTTCTTAACGTTGCTCCACTGCCTTGTGAATTAAACCTCTTTACTTAAAGCTCGCGGAGTGGTTCTTTAAGAAAACCATCCGCTTCAATTTTCGCACCGGAACAATAATCCATCCCATAGAAAATTTTTCGTGGCGCATATATATGTTAGTCTCTCTTTGTACCAAATTTTATGTGTTTAAAATAAATAAATAAATCGTGAAAAATATACGAATAGCGTAGCTATTAGACGACAGTTGATAGCTATAAGAAGAACGTTCTATGTGGCAAAGCTGTGATTAACATTCATTGATAGAAATTCGTTTTGCATATTTGTTACATATAAGCTCTTTCGCTTGGTCATTCTTATACCTTTTTGTTCTAACAGTTAACTGTTACTACTGAATTTATCACATGAAATGTGATTTTTCCTTAAACATACGTTAATTATTATTATTTATCATAGGGAATCATTAATTCATTCACATCCTGTTATAGCTTGTGACCTGAGTGCCCTGTTAATGGATAAGTAATGATACCGCCAATTAGGGAGAAATGACTTATCGATCCAAATATTCCAACATGCCAATATATATAGTCTTCCAGTTGTAATCGACCTCGAATGTGTTATTCCAATGAATCTATCAATTTTACATGCTTCTGATATTCTATCAGTATGTAATCAGATAAATTATGTTTTACTAATTAGACTACTAATAATGAAGTGTTATATATTTCACTTTATTAAAAGGGTTTATATTTCATTTAATCTTATCTCTTTTCATTTCTTAGTCATCTGACGTTAAGGATGTTCAACTACCTGTTGGCAATATAATCGCAGAAATTCCTAGTATTGGTGAAACAAAATATATGTATTATACTTATGGAACTGGTATATTACTTTTGTCTGCTTTCATATTGTTTTTAATGAATAGATGAAAATGATATGGATATGGATACTTTTTCTTGAACTACCCAGAAAGGGAAATAGATTAGTAGATAGTAGTGATATTGGTGACCTGGAAGCATGATTTCGGAGCTCAACGGACAATTATTTGAAGTTGGTCATACACAACGTTTTTCTGAGTAGTATTTATGGTGTTAGCTGCGTGCTTTAAAGGCCTTGATCATTTATTCACTCTCCTCCAAATGTTAGACCACTATCATACTTATTGCAGGTCGACAGTCTTTATGTCTCTTGATATTAAGGTTGTCTCTGATTTGTTGGATAGAAATATGCTTTGAGATTGTCTTCAAGGGCAGGATTTTCCTGCTAAGTTTATTAATATTTTAGAAGCTCCATACACAACTACCCCAGGTAGAGTGAGGGTATGCAACCACCTTTCTCCATTACAGGATTAACTGTAAAATGAGTTTCCTACCTTCTGTATGCTGATAAGATTGTCTTATTGTGCGATGACACAGAACTAATTCAAACCTCAGTTTTTCAATTGGTACTTGGTGCTTATAAATACAGTATATGTCTTACACCTTTCAAATCCGAAATACTTATTCACGATTGGTAGGAGTGCTGGTGTTGGCGTAACGTGAGATCAATCTATGCATAGTGAAAACCAAAATGGTTTGTGACGATCTGAACCTTCTTCCGCGCTGTTGTAATGTTAGCCTGCCTATAAGGGCTCGCGTTTACGTGTCGGTGAGAGCCATGCTACTGTAAGCTTGCAGAACCTGGTCTCTACGAGCCGAGGATGTCCGGCGATTCTCTGTGTTCGACCGTCGTAGTGATGGAAGGACTCCTGACGTCCAGTGGCAACAGAATGTCAGTTTGCTAATTTGTGTTCGGGTACAGTAATGACAATTAAATCAGTGTCACCACCTTGAAATACTGGCCTCACTGGTTTTGATTTGTTTTATGAATATCATCCTGATATCCACCATGTGTAACATTATTTGCTGGTACTGAGTGCAGAAAGCGGAGGAGTGGTAATTTCATAACAGCCTAGTTGTATAGGATTGCCATCTGTCGGTCCATCACAACTCCCTATTCGGTGTCCGATGCATGAATCAACTTCAGTGGTTTGAAATATTATCAAACATGGCTCAGAGTAGAAGCCAATGGCATTTTTTTGTGGCGTTTTTCTACGTTGTTCATAAAAATGGGATGAAGTACCGTAACCAAGAGACGTTTCTCTTGGGTTTATTTTTGTCTGAAATATATCTCCTACTATATAGTATTTTCGTTCACGTGGTTGCTTATTTTTGTATATACTCCTATTCCCGCATTTCCCTCTTCACAATATTATCTCCTTGCTTATGTTGCTTATACCCATCTTTTGTTGTTCAGTTGTACCACACAGTCTGTATTAAATAGGTGAATTAAGTGACTTACTTCCAGTTAGGGAAATCCGTGGGGCAAGGTGAGGTGTACTATGTCAAGGGCCGAGGTTTTATTCCCTTTTCCTACTGTTTTGAGAAGACAGCACATCTGCAGATTCTGCTTATCCGATGGATTCAATTTTTGTGGAATTATTTCTGTATAGTTGTGAGCTTGACTTTGCCCTCGGATTTCATGGTTTCGTTCTGATAGCTTTCTAGCCAACTTGCTAAACATGATAGGACCTAGGGGAATAAATGTTCCATTCAACATAACTCGATTGAGCCATCGCCACAGGTAAGCTTATTGACCACGTTAAGTCACATTCTACGATTAGGAAAACAGCACGAACGTCTGTTGACCAACCGGTTATTTGAAGTTTACTTAAATGTAAAATTATTTGATCGTTATTAAATCATAAGTTTTAGATGTTTAACAAATTAGAAAGTTAGTGAAATACATCTTGGTATAATCTGTAAGGTGCTTAACAGCTCAGTTTATTTTTAGATACGAAATTTCCTAATAAAACAAACAAAATATCTGAAAATGCTTTGACGAAAAACCATTTTTGAACGTTACATGTAACTAGGTACCATTGTAAAGGTTTGACTTGTTGCATTTAACTTTCTACTCATTTTTGTATTGTGACTAACAGTAGCAACCAAGACGTGACGTTCATATTGTTTTTAAGACTCTTCAAATGAATTCGCCTGTATCCCGATGTTGATGTTCACATCGAGACTTGTACGGGAAAATTCAAACGCTTATGTATTATTTCCGCCAATTTTCAGAACCATAGATATTTGGATGTTTGCCTAGTTTGACTACTTTTAAATAAAAAAGTAGTCAAACGTTTTTGTACAAATTAAGTTTGAGCAATTGGTAATCCTGAATATAAATATCCAAATTTTCAAGATGCAAAGTCCACCACTTCTAACACATAGTATTGTCAAATTCATTAATGTATGCCTTGTTCTGACCTTTGTGAAATATCACAGCGATTATGGAGCCTGACGATGAAGTTATTGAAAACAATTGTTTGCTCAAATATTCTTTGTTTTCAGATTAATAGGAACACATTCACGTAGTATTTACTTTAAACAGTGCATCTTTCTTTGATTATCCACACACTATGATCCATTGACATTCAAAATATTATGCTAGTGTATTCAAGGATTTATTGAGTGTGTAAGGGAGAGATATACTTTATTGGATTCCGAAATTTCAGAATTGGCTATATATGCATTAACTCTATTAGGTACTGACTACTCTCATCAATTGCAGATTGAAAGTTTTGATATCTGTCACATAGTCGATATTCAGCCTATTTATAGAACAGTATCTATATTACAGATGTTGTGGAGAAAAATGTGACGTATGTTTTAAACAATAAAGATAGCAGACGACATGCTGATTGTTACATTTGGAAATTTTACCTCTAGCAATAAACTGATTTGTCCATCTTTTTGAAAAATCCATTCTCATAACATTTTATTTCCAAGTTGATCAGTTGTTAAGATTTATTTTCAAAATGTATAGACTTTCTCATTCCCTATTTTTGTAACACCCATCAGCAGGATATATTTGTACATCTGTGGAAACTGACTGTCCTTAAATTTATGTCACAGGAGCACTAAAAACGTTTGTCGACAGGTGTTGGCTAGCATAAAAACCATCTAGGGCTTCCTGATACTTGATTCTAACCACTTAGCACCAAAATAGTTACTGCTCGAAATCGATTCACTCAGCTTAGTGGATATATTACAACTAGAGTCAGTCAGTCAGCCATAATGCAGAACAAAGCACATATGCATCGGTCAAAATTGTCATACCTCATTAGCACAAGATGAACACCGAATTCATAGGAGCAGTTACTTCAGTGGTAGTTATATATAAAAAAAGATGTGTTACAGGGAGCAGGAATTAGTTCGTAGAAAGAAAGATATGAAGAGATTTTAATCCCATAGTTTAAAGAAAGACAGAGTGTATACACCCATGCCATTATAATCGATTCTGAGCCATGTCACCCAGATTCTCCAACCACTGGTTATAATAGTCTCTCGGACTTCAACCAATTAGTGTGCATCTACCAACATGGCTCAGATCAGAAGTTAGTGATTTTATGGATTGATGCCACGTTTTGGTTTGAATATCACCAGCTTTATTCCAACCGTCTCGAACACTAATCAACATTTCACGCCGTGGTAGGTATGCGTAATATGTGACCAAACCATCTCAGTCGATGTAGACTTACCATCGTTCCTTAACACCGCGCGTCTATATTCACTGTTACTTAGCCGATGATCCCAAAATATGTGGGCAATATTTCTAAGACGTCTGTTATCAAATACTAGTAGCTTACGAGTATTCTCTACAAATAAAGTGAAAACATTCTACCAGTAGAAAAATCAGAGAACAATGTTCATAAATCTTTTACATTAATAATATTCGTATGGTCACTGGTAAATCAGTTCGTAAAGTGGTTCTTGGAATTCAGCCATGTTGGGTTTGAAGCACAAATAGTTGCATAATTTAACCAATTGACTTAAATTACTAATATAAACCATCGAATCTCTACTCAGTTGTCTAATAGTCGGGCACACGCCATAAAACCTTCAGAATCTGCGTTCTATTCCCGATAGGGTCATGAATACACACTCTTTGATTAAATAGCTGTTAAGTAATTCTTAATTTTCATTAGTTTTCTGACTAAAATCAGCTCTTAATATAAATCACAAACTTTGATAACCCACATCCCTTACACTTATAATAAGACGTTGGTAAATACAAAGTGGTCAGTGGATGTACATCACAAGACTGTAGTGTTCCTTCTTTTCTCCAATCTACATAAAATGTTAAAATATCTTATATACTTATTTTCAAGACTCATTAGAAATTTTCATTATAATTCTCTGATATGAACAGAGAAACAAGAAGCCTTGACAAACCACGAAAGCTATTTTTCGGGACGTTATTTCATTTGATTCAGAGCTTGTAAAACAGTAATATTTATTTTTGTACCTAGTCTATCCTACAGATCATAAGCTTTCGTTTGATGTATGATTCACTGCCATAGCCTTTTTTGTTCCAAAGCTATTGTAATTTAAACGTATTATTTTGTACTCTAATCTCCAGTTTTGAACACAATTGTATTTCCCTAATTACTGTACATTGTGATCGAGTTAGTCGTCTATTTATTCGCGTATCTTTTTACACTAATTTGAAATCGGGAACCAGATCGGAATTGAGAATAAATCGTGTAGCGTTCCAGTTGACTTGTCTTCTCTCACTCGCGTGCTTGTCAGCCAATCAGGTAACAAGATAGTTTTCTTCTCTTTACTCCACTTCGAACTCACGCGTTCTAGCCTCAAAGTTAAACTGGTCAGCCTATCGCGTCAAAGTCTTAATCTAGATTAGACAAGTTATCCTCAGCATCAAAAGTGGATAGATAGACCAAGGACGTAACATTCTCCTTGCACAATCAAACAATATTATCCCCAGTTTTCATAGTAATAACGTTCAGTAAGGATGTTGTATGCAGTTCGCATATAAAAAAGAAACCGAAAAAACGTTTAGTAAAAGTTACATATTCTTTTTTAAAAAAACAAACAGTGCTCCTAAACTTGGAGAAAGATCAACACAACTAAAATCTAAAATCATTCTTTTGTCAAATGCAAAATATTACAAATTACATTTAGATTACAATGTATAGTTTTCTTTGTTTAACTGATCGTCTAACGAATCAGAAACTTATAAAGATTATGTTATTCCTTAAGTTGTATTCTTTCCTCTCTCTCTCCTTCTCCTGAAAGAAAGTAAAGTCATAACAAATTTAGTGTAAACGAGATAGATTTGTGCATGTGTTTGTGTGTGTGTGCTCGTGTGCACGCATGTATAAATGTGTGTATGTGTATACAAAATATTCATATGTACGTGCATATATATTTGTGTAGAATATTTCTCATTAATTTGATTATAAATATATATCAAAATTAGTGCACAACCATTAATTAGGAGAACTATTCCGTTCTGTTCCGTTCTGTTCTGTTCTGTTTGTTTGCTTATTCCTGTAAATATTCATTAAAGATTTGTGTTTTAAAATGTACTCTTTAAATGTTTAATGTATATATATGTATATATTACAACTGTATATTAGCTACTTCCTTATAAATATTTAAGTAATATGTATATATCATGTACAATTTATAAAATGAGCATAATCATATACTACAACAAACTATACTGTTCATTTCAAAGTATACACTGAATTGATGGTGTTAGTTTCTTTTTCATTTATGTACATTTTAGTTAAAAGTATAAATAATGATAATAATAGTTGAAGATTAATATAAAGTATAAACTGATGAGCAGATTTATATTCTCCATTCTAACAGAATTAATAATTCGTTTTTCTGTTATATTGTCATTCTAAAAAGATTAAAACAAACAAACAAAAAATTATCAGTATAGGGAAATTCTCAGAGTTCTAGTGAGAAGCCATGAACAGTGGAGCTAATCTGTGTTGAGTAGAGATAGATATCTACCTGAGTACAATGGAAGATGGTCGCACAATTTCTTGGATTGGTTGATGATAGATACTAACACCATTGGATGCCAACTCAGTGGTCCAGTAGGTTAAACGTTCGTACGCGAGACTGAAGGCCCTGGGTTCAAATCCCATGAGCGGGATCGTGGATGCGCACTGCTGAGGAGTCCCATACTAGGACGAAACGGCCGTCCAGTGCTTCTAGGTTTCCAACGGTGGTCTAACATCAGTCGATTCCTGATCTCAATCATCAACAAAGTTTAGGCTGATGTTTACATAATTGAATTTATGACAGTTCACTAATTTTAACTATGATCTTTGTATAGAAAAATGACATCTTCAGCCTGTATATTATTCCGTAGTTTCAACATCCATCTATTCTCTTATTTTTCATCTATTTCAGACTCATCAAGGATACAATTCTTTTTTATATTTGTCCCTTAAATTATGATTTCCTTTTTTATTACTTCTATAATAATTACGAAACTTATGGTCAATACTTAAAAACCCTTTGATAAGTCTAACTACTTGTGTTTTCTCTTCTTAGAAATGACGTAAAATATATTTATTTTACCATGGTATATAAAATTCAATACTTCAAATCTCTTTGTAATCTTTAACTACATTATTATATGATGTAAAAATTCTTTAATTTTTATAGACTAATACATTCAACTTGGCAACCAACACTAAGGTCAAGATTTTCAATACAAATGTCAAGACAGTTCTACTGTATGGGGCGGAAACCTGGAAAACTACGAAAGCCATCATCCTTCTGGATGATGGTTTTATTAACAGTTGTCTAGGCAAAATACTTCGGATCCGTTGATCAGGCACTATTAGCAACAACCTACTATGGGAGAAAACAAACCAGATCCCAGAGGAGAAAGAAGTCAGGAAGAAGCGCTGGAAGTGGATAGGACATATATAGAGGTAAGCACCCAACTGCGTCACAGGACAAGCCCTCACATGAAATTCTCAAGGCCAAAGGAAAAGTGGAAGACCAAAGAACATTACGCCGGGAAATAGAGATAGACATGAGAAAAATGAACAAGAAATAGATGGAACTACAAAAGAAGTCACATGACAGAGTGGTTTGGAGAACGCTGGTCGGCGGCCTTTGCTCCATTGGGAGTAACGGCTGTAAGGTATTGTAAGGTAAGACAATCAACACATTCAAATAAAACAAGTATTTCACTGTCCTTGATAATTTTATTCAATGATGTAACATTCGTTTATTTTATCATAGTCAGTCAGTTAGTCGCGTACAACGTAGGACCAGGCACATATGTGTATCGGTCCAAGTTGCCACACCTCACAAATGTAGTTGCTTTAATGCTAGTAATATATAAAAGAAGGATTGTGTGTAAAGATATAGTACAGGAAGAAAGATATGAAGTGATTTTAACCTCATAGTTTAAAGGAAAACAGAAAGTGTATACACTGACACCATGGTGATCGATTCTGAGCCATGTCAAACAGAATCTCCAATCATTGGTTACGATAGTCACGTAGACTACAACCAAGTAGTCTGAATCTACCACCAACATAGCTCAGACCAGAAGTCAGTAAGCTTGTGAACTGATGCCACATTATGGTTTGGTCATCCCTAACTTTCTTCCATATGTCTCTAACATTAGCCAGCATTGCGCGTCGTAGTAATCATAGACTATCAAATATAAAATTACCTCTAATAAGTACAGTTTGAATTATGAATATTTTGTACAATTCAAATTTGAAATTTTTTCACTGACTAAAATTATTAAATTTTACTAGAATGGAAGGTCCAGGACAGAGTGGGTTGAAGGTTGTTGGTCGGTGGTTTATGCTTCACTGGGAGTAACACAGGTTTAAGTAAGTAAGTACTAGTAAAAATCAATCTTGTTAAATCGTCAAAAAAATTCGTATCAACGATGTAACATTAGATTAAATGGGAAAGTCTTCAACGTTTTATACCAAAATAGAATAATACAAAACAATTTAACCGAAAATCAATCACTCATATTCATGATTCAAATAAATATGTGATCTATTTTGGTCATTATTCGATACTATCATTGAATAACTGTTTTTTCATTTCAAAATCTTAAAAATCAATATTATACATGCCAAAAAAGACAATTCCATTTTAATATACAAAATAAACCATAGTAACTATGAGAAACAATACGCCTTACAAAATTCCCACTGCCTTTGTATGAGTATCCATAAACATATGTTTACTGCTAAATATCATGACATATATTCAAGTATAACAGTACATGTGGATGATTATCGACTAAAGAAATATTAAAGTACTAGACAGAGGAAATACAAAGAAATCTAATAAATTTCTAGAAGAACATCATTCAAATTAGTATGGTCATAGAGATAGATCTAATTTCTTAATTCATAAGAACAAGATTTAATACATACATAATCATGAGTCAGTCACCATAATTTTAGTGACAAGTGAAAATAAATAAAACCAGCTATTAAAAAGTCTATCAAAATAAAATTGTTTGATGTCCCTGGGATAATTCAATTAATCAGTTCTACATGAAGTTATTTAAAATGATAATGAAAACTTCACGTTTAAATCATCTAACTCATAGATTGCAAATCCATTAAGCTGTTTAATATTATCTAGTTTATGTTCTACTCTTGATCTGTATAGATAAAAGAAATCAGTATTTTGTATACAGCTTTAAGCCTTCAAAATACATTATAGATCATTTTCAGAAAGCCTGTTACAAGTTATTAATAGACATTAACCCAATCTGTGCACAAGAACTGTTCAACCAGTTACACACCAACAGAAAGTGAAAGTATAGAGTAATGTAGATCATTTTAACATGGATTTCTTTTTACACAATACTTTTGTTTTCATTCATAAATATTAACCAACATTACGATCATTTATCCTGAGCTAATCGCATTTTATTACAACTGACAATGACTGGCTACCCAATATCACAAATATTTTCATAGTCCCATTCTAAACGAAGATTTTATTTGCTATCGGTACTTTTTTTGAAATAAAACTGTATAAAAGTGATGTCTATAAACCCCCAATAGAGCATAGGCCACCGACCAGCATTCTCCTATTCACTTGTTGTTCATTCTTTTTACTTCTGCCTCCATTTTTTGGCGTAATGTGTTTTCTGGTCTTCCTCTTCTTCTTTGGCCTTGAGGATTCCATGTGAGGGCTTACCTTGTAACTCAGTCGGGTGCTTTCCTCAATGTATGCCCTAAATTGTTTGAATAAATATAAGTATTCATAGGATCGGGATATATATTCATGAATTCAGAGATTTCATTTTAAACTCTTATTTTCACTTTTTAGCTTTGTTTTTTCATCCGATTAGCTGACATACGTCACAGTAAAGTGTTCACAGGAGACATATACATATATATAGACTGCTTTAAATTTTTAAAATGAAGTTCCCATTTCAAAATAATATTCTTATACATAACACTAACTGGAAAACAAAATACTCAAAATAAACACTGAATAAACTATAAATATGAAATAGTAGAGAAGATTTGTACCTCAGTTGGATATATCTCCTAATTGGGAGATACAACCAAAATAAAGAAGTAAACAACAATGACAAATTTAAGGTCAACAACAACCAATCAACATCGAGATCTACAGAATAAGCTGTGATCTATATGTGAAGAAATTCGAACACTTCACTTCTATCTAAAGTTTGTGATAATAATATCGTTCAGAAGAACGATGAAAGCTCCACGACTAAACCATCCAGCTCAGAGAACAAAACTCCATCCAAAAAAGATATATCTTTCTACTTATACCTTTTAATACATTTCAATAATCTACATACTTTTTTCGATTATTATTTCAATGATTGTTGTATACATTGTGATTGTATTTGATTATGTTGTAATTCATTTGTATCTAATTGTATTGTTTCTATTATTGGATTCATTGTACAATTAGGATTATGATAATCTATACCAAAATAAATAGTATCATCAAATGGAGATAATTTTTTATATTGAGATTGTAATGATAAATGATTTGATTTATTATTGATAAATTGTAAATTTTTAATTGTACACCATTGATTATTATTTGGTTCATTATTTGAATTATTATTATTATTATTATCATTATTATTATTGTTTTGAAATAGTATTACGTCATCTTGGAGTTGAAATGAAGGATGTGGATAAGAATCCGTGAATTGATCTGAACAATATAATATTGAATTATTATTATTATTCATTATTACTTATATTTGTTGTCGGGTATGATGATGTAATCAATTCATGAATATCGCTCATAGTACTTACATTCATATGATTGTTATTTCCATAATTATGTGTATCATTATTACTAATAGTAGTGATAATAGTAGCAGTAGTAGTGGTAGTGATAGTAGTAGTAGTAGTAATACTACTATTAATACTACTTATCATTGTATGTGTTGGTTCCAATATAAATGCTGTTGTTGTCCGATTCATCAATGGATAATCATCATTTTGTTTAGAATTTTCTATTGATTTAAATGATGTAAATGTATTGGATGTAGTTATTGGTAATGTAGTATAACCTTTTAATGTATAATAATTAGATAAATTTTGTATTATTTTACTATCATTAAATAATGTCTCATTTAAACATGAACAATGACTTGGAGTAGCCACTGTAGATGATGGTGAAATTTGATAATGTTGTAATTGATATTGTGATGGTTGTTGATGTTGTTGACATTGTGAATGATAAAGTTGATGTTGCTGATAAGGTTGTTGTTGTTGTTGATGATGAGGATGATGAAGATGATGACGATGATGATGATGTTGGCATAAAGGTAGATCATGAAGTGAAGATCTTTGTAACAATAAAGGATTAGCATATGAATGTTCATTTAACCAATATTTACAACAATCTTTAATATCCATTGTATATGGTTGATTATTATTATTACTACTATTACTATTACTACTACTACTAGTACTACTAACATTACTAGTATTATTATTATTATTATTCGTAATATGATTAGTATTAGTATTTATATGATTATCAACTGTTAAAAGACTTTTTAATATTTCATTATCTATTTGTTGTTCTGATTGACATTGTGGTTTATGAATTAGATATTTTGATATTGATGATTGTTTAATTGGATTATAATAATTTTTATTTATTTCATTATGTTGTGTACAATGATTTTGTTTTATTGTGATTGATTTTGATTGTATTAATGAATTTCTTGTTTGATTTAAATGATGACGATATTTACGTGCTAATAACATACCCATTACACCCATTAAACAAGTTAATATACCAACTAAACTCATCATTAATAATATATGTAATGTATTTGAACAAAATAATTCTCCACAAATTCTTGATGTAACTAAAAAGAAAAACAAAATATCATAGTGTTATTATTTATTAATTGAATGCTATTTGTTATATCTGGTCGTCACTGATTATTTTATCAGAAACTTTTATCATTTATACTGGAAACGAAGAACATCTACAATTCCAATAACGTGAAAGTAAGAACACAAAGACTGGTATAAGTGAAGATTTATTAACCCTAAAACACAACAACGACGATAGTCAATAATACATTCATCATCACATTGAATTCAAACGGGATTATTATTAAACAAAACTCATAATGGGTAAATCAATCGAATTTTGACTTTTCTTCCGGTCATATCACAAAATATAATATGAAACATGCAATGAAGAAGTATATTTTATTAATGGTAATAGTTAAATTCAATTGATATTGTTTACTTATATCTTTTGAGTGAAGTTTAGGACTGCACATGATCACTCACTAATTGGCATATGTGCATTCCGTGAGGATTACCTCAATATTGCCTTAAAGCACAAGGATTACAACAAGAAATAGATGGTGGTTAGTAATGGAATCCAGAACACGCATTTCGTTTTATTTGGGACACGTTAGTTGGATGTACCTGCATCTTAGAGTTGATGTTCACTCCGCTACAATAACCCAGTACCCAAATAGAATGAAACGCGCATCCTGGATTCCACTGCTAACTATTATCAATCTTTGTTTATAATGCTTGTGAATTAAGGCAATACTCACAGTATGTACATATATCAGTAAGAGACTCATCAATCGCAGTCCATACACATATATGGGAAGATCCAAGTAAGCTATACCAAGTGAATTTAAACTTCACCCTAATACACAAGCAGGTGGCTATCAGGACTCAGTAGCTAGGTGGATAATGCGATTGCGTTTGAAGCGAACGTTACTGGATTCGAGTCTCACAGTGAACATCAACTCTGAGAATGCAAGTACTTCCAGCTGACGAGTCCCAAATAGAATGAATTGCGAGTCCCGGATTCCACACTGTATTCTTTCTTCATAATTTATAGTGTCTTGTGTACAGTATAATATCTCACTAACTTAAAAAGTCGTCTATTCATAGTCAAAACAAAGTCTAGTAAATATATATCTTACCATATAGAAATAATCAGATAGAAAAGAGATTTGAAAAACGAGAAGTATTAATGGCAGTAAGAGAAAAAATTAACTGAGATAAAATCAACGAAAAATAAAGAAATGATGAAAATGTAGAATAAATAAAGTTTCACGATTGAGATCGACTTTAATCCGTCACTTGTACTCTCAAACTGAAAATTGCGTTTATAAAATTAAAGGCATACAAAAAGTGTATATCTTTTCATTTGATTCAGGTGAATAAAGTGTTAGTTTAATGCTTCTTACTCTCTTCCAACTGATCGATGCGTCAACTAGTGATGTACCTTACTGTATAAGGTAGTTGAGCATAATTAATACATGCCAAAACCAGTTAAAGGTAGTTTGCGTAGAATAGATAGTATATAGCTTGTAGTTAATTCCAAGGTGAACATTTTATCTCATTCGAAGCTCGTCAGCTAGTTGTATCTGCGTCTCAGAGTTGATGTTTACTCTGAGATTCAGACCCAGTATCTTTCACTTCAAACTCTAACACGTTATCCATTAAGCTATTAAGTTCAAATGGCTACACACTTGTGCTACCTGTATGGAATTCTGATGTTTCTAACTATTTCGTTATTGACATTTTGACCTAAATTTTATCATTCTAGGCTAATAAGTCCCAAATTAGACGAAGCACGCATCATTGACTCCACTACAAACCACATTCCATCTTTCCTATATAATCTTGTATCATAATGGCTATATCGAATCATTGTGCACAGAATGTATATATGCCAACTAAGAACGATTAGACTTCAGTTAATATATCAACAATAGGACAATCGTAAACCTTTACAAATTCAATGGATAACTAATATTAGTTCAGTCACTAATAAGAGAACAGTTTTTCACTATTCATAAAAGTTTCATAATAACTATTTTTTTTTGTATTTAATTAAATCTTTGATAGATAAATACTAATGAAATTGCGTATTAGATGGAAATGTGTAGTTTAACTAAGACCAGTTTGTGATTTAAACAATAAAATAAAATTTACTGATTATTAAATAAACTTAATACACTTCTGTTTAATGACAATAACCAATTCATTTCAACAAATTTGATGATTATTTTTTTTTAACCAGAATCATATTGTGTTTTATAGCTTGATCATTTAATTATTAAATTATAGCTTCTTTTTGGTTATTTAAAATAATCCAGTTCAGTTTCAATTTTAAAGTTTTCTAACAAACTATTTAAATCACAATAAGGATTCATGAAGGTTTTAGTAATTTTAACGAATCAATTCATAAATCTCGCATGTGGGATAATAGATACTTACTTACTGAGAAGTCCCATACTAGAATGAAATAGTCGTCCAATGATTTCATGTTTTTAATGGTGGTATAGCTTAAACTGATTTATGAATTCAACTGTTAAAATATTTAAGTAACATTGGTGTATCAAACAAAAAGCTTATATTAAGCTGTTTTTGACTTGTTTCTTTAACTACTTATAAAACTGTTATACTTGACTTTTGATGTTATTTTGTCAATATAATATTCTTAATGCACTTAAATTAAAACAACAACAAAAATCTGATCGATATTCAATTGAAGACATACCTTGTTTTTTCACTGGTAACTGACTACTTGGAATACTTTCAATTAAATATAATGGTATGGAACGTTGTATTATTCGTAGACTTGGTGGCAGAAATGTTATACGAGGATTATTCAAACTTGATACAGTTGAATCACACGTAGAAGGCTATATTTATATGACAATAAAAGTTATAATTATGATATGGTTAATAAATTAAGAATTATTCTAATCGATGAGAACACCTTGAATACTATTTCAAAGTTAAATCAGTTACAGATAATATTCTTCACATATTGATTTTCATAGGGGTATCATTGCAAATCAGGGAGCACTGGGTCGTTGTTTTGTCCCAACGTGGAACTCCTCAACTTTATTGATCTGTAACTGATGGAACCCAGAAACGTAGACAATGAAACTAATGTCACGTATGCCACGATATGATCATAGTGCTATATCGCAAACTGATTGAAGTTGTAATCATAATGCTGGAAGTAAACCAAGTTATTATAATGGTTTAGTGCTTGCCACGAGACTCAAGTGTCCTAAGTGCGAAGGTCATCTTAGTCCTTGCTGTACCTTGCTGAAGAGTCTCATACTAGAATAAAACAGTTATTCACTACTCTCTGGTTTCTAATTTTAGCCAAGTGAGGTTAGTCTACGACAGATTAAACCTAAGATATAAGCTAATCTAGACAAAACATCCAATGAAATCATCTATATTTTCCCATTTTAAATAAAATTTTACCAATTCGATGCAAAACTGTATGAAAATTCTCAGAAACCATGGGAAAGTGAGTACATTTGCTCTGTGACAAATCAATCATTGTTTTTCAAATATCTACTCCGAAATTTACATTGAAAACTAAACTAACCCAAATAAGTCACTAGGTTCAGAGTAGTGTATTAAGCTAAGGGCTAAGTGTTAATTAAAACTCTTGAGAAACCTACTTGGGTACTAAAACTCTAGCGTATGGAATGACTTTAGAATCTATGACACGTTGAATGAGAGAAATAATCAGACGATGGAAATACAGCTTCAGAAAATTTTTAAGTCTGACTGTAATAACGATCATGTCAGTTGTGTTGCATTCATAAGGTCCTAAATCGTGATAAGTATATATTCGATTTTCTACCTTTTCATAATAGCTAATTAAAAATGTTTTTATGTTTCATTGATCCCATAGAAACAGAGACAACAGTGGAGATTTCTTTCTGATTTCCGGAACAATATGTTCAGTGTTATAGTGAATTATATTCATGATGCAGTTTATTATTAAACATCCGGAAGCATATATAATAAAATATTTTTTTATGATAGGAATTAGAGATTAGTCATTTTAAACCATAAAATGTTCTCCTACTTTTGGCTTCGTATCCTTTATCTTTATAATCTATGTATATATAGTTAAAACTATCGGAATCTTCAGAAAATTCTTCGATAAAGTTATCAAAAGCCAGGGTAAAACTGACAACATTTCGTTCTGATAAGATACACTGAAAAAATGTTTAGAAAACTGATATATGTCACATGCTAATTGTATGATAAATTATGCTGCTATTAAATTTGAAATAGTATCTACATTTCCCGATAGTCAAAGATTATCAGCAGACCATTAAAAATACGATTATTTTCTGTATATAAACAAACCTTACAGTAAAGTTAATTTGGTAACTCAATGCATTCTTTGTATTGTTTGAGTTTTAAATATGGAGAAATTCCAAGGATTCAGAAAGTGACTAAAAGTCATTATTAAACGTTTGTGTAACAGATTAACAGAGCATTACATAATCACCTAAACTGAAAACATCATAAAAATGTGCACAACTGCACAACGACAAAGCTTAATATAAAATTGTTACAATAAATAAGATATAAAATTGCACCTCAAGTGGATTCTTTTGTGGATATTATAGAGCTTGTTGAGTTAGATGCTTCAATTCTGGAGTTTACATACAGAACTGGACAACAAAATTTTCGAAAATAACCAGTCACTAACAAAACAGTCAGAACGAATAGTTTTAACTTGACAGAAATAACTATTATGCTCATTTCAACAAGATATAGGCATTAATGATGTTGTACGGAGTGACATTAAAACCTTTACAATTAAGCTATCTTGTTCAATGAACTCCAACAATACTAATTGAATAAGAATTTCTACTATAAATTTAACTTATAAGGTACAGCAAAAAACTTTTTTGACTTCTTGAGTGAATTATATCTAGAATATTCCATAAGATAGTGCTAAACTATGTTAATCTAGTAGTAAACACGATATCAATGAGTCATGAAATATAAATCTGTTTACCACTATTCCGAATTTTAATTCAATCTATATGAAGTCCTCCTTATTCTAGTTGTTAAGTTATTTGAGATCAAGGGATAAAGTATACTCACAATACTGGGAAAAATTAACCTCCCTGGTGAATTCGAACACACTTCATTCAGTATCATAATTTGAAACGTTTTAGCCACCACTAACCTACTGTAGATCTGAGATATTTACAAGTAATCGATCACTGATCAATGATTAATGCCATGTTTGTCTAGTCATTTAATGTCGATCAAAATCTACCAATCAAATTACAATCTTATAAGAATCACCACTTCCCTCAACATTACAGATATTCCATATTTAAATAATGTAAACTAATATAAAATTCAAGTTTATAATTTCTTGTCAACTACTTTCAGTTACCTTACATCTCAATAACGTGTATACAGTGTTTAATCGCTTAGACTAGTGAATAATTTGAATGATAGAATTAATCACCTTATTAAAGGTTAAATCAACATGTTATATATCATCATTACTCAATGATCCATCAATTGTATATGATTATTAATAAGTAAATTGATAATGATCTCTATATATAGAATTTTGTGTAATTTTTCAAGGGCCATTTAACCATTTAAAACATTTTTCCCATATTCATTACCCATTAATTTAATGTTAAAGTAACATTAAGAATTCATTGCAACGTGTATATATATATATATATATATATATATATATATATATACATAATATTTATCAAAATGTGTATACAGGTTACTGAACTGACTATAAATAAAATGCGACTTTTTCAAAAACAAAAACAAAACTTATTTTTATATACATACACATTTTTCACAGGAAAGGACAATAATAAAATAAACAATTTTACGATATATATATATATATATATATATATATATATATATATCTTTAATACTATCCAACGCACAGGAAATGAGTGAATGACAAAAAATGGAGTAAAGATATCAAATGGAAGTCACTGTATATATATATATATATATATACCGCTATTTATAGATTAGACTTTTGTAAACTGTTGTACTATATAACTGCCAAAACATATATATACTCCATCAGTTTGCATCCTCTTCACTATTGTGTAATATTCATGTTTTACTTTTACTTCTCTTCTCCTTTTTATCTATTGTACACTCACCCTACCACTAACTTTATCTATCTCTTTTATTCTTGTTTAAATTTTATCATTGTTTATATACGTGTATTTATATGTCTGTCTGTAAGTAGGTTATGTTTATCTGTGTGTGTGTGTATGTAAGTGTGTTGTAGAAATATTCTATCGTAAATATTTTCAAAAGTTATCATAAATGTAAATTTCTCATTGTATCATTATCTTGTGTTCGCGTCAGTTCCCACCCGCCTCCCCTTTTTTTACGAAATTTGTCATATTTCTTTATTTATACTAAGTGTTAGGTGAACAATTGTGGTTAAATGTATCACTATTTATGTTCAAATGTCTATTTCTCTATGTATATATATATATATATATATATATATATATATATATATATATGTTGTTGTACATTAATTATATGAATACATATTATTTAACTACTACTACCAATACTACCATTACAACTACTAATACTATACTACTACTACTACTACTACTAATGCTACTACTACTATTACTACAAACAATGCTACTACTACTACTATTACTACTACTAATGCTATACTACTACTATTACTACCATTACTACTGCTAATGCTAAACTTCTGCTACTACTACTTAAATCATCCACTTCTGATATTTTTCAAATCTCATAAAATTTTCTTTATGTTTTTTCTCTTCAAGAAAAGAAAGATCGTGTTTTCTTTAGTCTATAGCTATTTATTTCATATGAAGTTTTCCTTTTTAACTATTATATCATTATGATATTTAGATTTGATTTATTTTTTAATTGTTTGAAAATAGGAAAAATGATTGAACATATATTGAATATTGAACAAGTGAATTTAAGTTAACCTTTTGGAAAGATTAATTTACAAATGACATACTTTTCAAAAAAAGGTCAATCTATGCAGAAATATATAAAGATTCTTTTTGTCAAATATGAATAAAGACATACTGTCATTGTCAAGTATGTGAATAACAACAAGAAACAGACCGATGAAAATATAATCACAAGAAAAACATTATTGATGTATGACATCAAAAAGGATTCTCCCGAATAGATTAGATTAGAGAATATTGTTTGGAAGTTTACTCTCCATAAAAGTTAACTAAGTAAATAAAGAAGTGATACATAAATGTACTTTAATAACAAGTGTCATCGCGAGAAAGTATCGGCTATAGAGGTATTATACTAATATAACACCGTCTGGAGTCTCTCTGGGGGCTACTGCCGGGGGATGGTTGGGCATAGGGATAGCGAACCCATCCAGAAGATACAGGTGTTTGTTAACAGTTGTCTACGCAAAATACTTCGAATCTGTTGGCCTGACACTATTAGCGACAACCTCCTATGGGAGGGAACAAACCACATCCCAGCGGAGGAATAAATCAGGAAGAAGAGCTGGAAGTGGATAGGACACATGTTGAGGAAAGCACTGCGTCACAAGACAAGCCCTCACACGGAACCCTCAAGGCCAAAGAAGAAGAGGAAGACCAAGGAACACATTACGGCGAGAAATGAAAATAAATATGAGAAAAATGAACTAGAAAAGAAGGCCCAGGAGAGAGTGGATTGGAGAATGCCGTTCGGCGGCCTATGCTCCGTTGAGGTAATAGACGTAAGTAAGTAAGTAATTATACTAATATATCACTTAAAGTAAACTCATTAATTACCGGGGTTCAATTTAAAACTGAAATTTTGTTTACAATTTAGTTTACAATCAATCAGA